GCCCGGTATCCCGCCAGCCCCCGAAACTCACAGACACCCCGGGGGTTTGGCCAGCACCCAAACACCTTGGGGGTCACCCAGCGACCCTGCCAGCCCCCAACCACCCTGCAGGGACCCCAAAGAGCCCTGCAGCTCCCCCCAGACCCTCCCAGAAGTCACCCCCCCACACCTGCCGGGTGAAGAGGATGGCGGTGTCGAAGTGGAGAGGACTGTCCTCGTCGGGGACGTTGAGCCCCTTCTGCCACTGGCAGAAGTTGCGGAGCATCTGGGCAGCGTTGGGGGTGGGAGGGGGCCCGGGGGTGCCCTGGCCCAGCACCACCAGCCGTGTCACCCGCAGCTCCACCGGATTGCCCAGGCTGCCGTGCCGGAAGGACCGGGCAGCTGCCGCCAGCACCGTCAGCAGGTACCGCCGGAGCCCCGCGCCATGGAACTGGGCCATTGACTCGTCCGCCACCACCAGCATCTCCACGTACCGCGGCACCGAGGCGAAGCGCTGCCGGGAAGCAGGGCGCTGGGGCAGGGGACCGGCGCCAGCCGGTGCCCCCCAGCGCTGGTGACACTGTCCCAGTGTCCCCCAGCACCCCTCACCCCATGCCGGTGTCCCCATCACCGCACATGTCCCTGCCGGTGCCCCCCAGCACCGTGCCAGCCCAGTGCACCTCATCACCTCTGGGCCCCGCACCAGCACACACCAGTGTCCCCCCTCTATCCCGGTCCATCCCGGTCTGTCCCGGTCCATCCTGGTCTGGTGTGTCCCTCCCCATCCCGGTCTATCCCGGTCCCTCCCGGTCCATCCCAGTCCCAGCCCATCCTGGTCTGCCATGTCCCGGCCCGGCTGTACCTTGGCTCTCCTCGGGGCCGGCCCCACGCGGGACCGTGTCCCGGCTCCGTCCGGTGCCGTTACGGGACACGGGGGGCCGGAGGCGGCCCCGGCAGCGGCGGCGGCAGCGGCTAGGAGCGCCAGGAGCGCGCGGCGCATGGCCCGGGCACCGCGATACCACCGCAACACCGCGACA